CGTATTTTCGTTCTATAGACGCACATTTCCCCCTCCAAAACTAAGGGAAATGTGTGTGCGTCCTATAGAGCGAATGCAGGCTGCGCCGCTAAGCCCAAAGCCAGAACAGGAAGACGGAGCACTGCGGAGCGCTCTGTTCTGGCTTGGGAACAGCCTTGCTAGCTTCTGCAGGACAGCGGGGTGAAGGCACCCCGCTGCCCTGCAGAGGTTTGCGCGCAGCCGTCCCCAAGCTAGAGCAGCGAGACGGAGCCCTCCGTCTCGCTGTTCTGGCTTGGGAACAGCCTTGCTAGCTTCTGCAGGACAGCGGGGTGAAGGCACCCCGCTGCCCTGCAGAGGTTTGCGCGCAGCCCTCCCAAGCTAGAGCAGCGAGACGGAGCCCTCCGTCTCGCTGTTCTGGCTTGGGAACAGCCTGCTAGCTTCTGCAGGACAGCGGGGTGAAGGCACCCCGCTGCCCTGCAGAGGTTTGCGTGCAGCCCTCCCCAAGCTAGAGCAGCGAGACGGAGCCCTCCATCTCGCTGTTCTGGCTTGGGAATAGCCTTGCTAGCTTCTGCAGGACAGCGGGGTGAAGGCACCCCGCTGCCCTGCAGAGGTTTGCGCGCAGCCGTCCCCAAGCTAGAGCAGCGAGACGGAGCCCTCCGTCTCGGCTGTTCTGGCTTGGGAACAGCCTTGCTAGCTTCTGCAGGACAGCGGGGTGAAGGCACCCCGCTGCCCTGCAGAGGTTTGCGCGCAGTCCTCCCCAAGCTAGAGCAGCGTGACGGAGCCCTCCGTCTCGCTGTTCTGGCTTGGGAACAGCCTTGCTAGCTTCTGCAGGACAGCGGTTGAAGGCACCCCGCTGCCCTGCAGAGGTTTGCGCGCAGCCCTCCCCAAGCTAGAGCAGCGAGACGGAGCCCTCCGTCTCGCTGTTCTGGCTTGGGAACAGCCTTGCTAGCTTCTGCAGGACAGCGGGGTGAAGGCACCCCGCTGCCCTGCAGAGGTTTGCGCGCAGCCGTCTGCCCTAGCTTGGGGAGGGCTGTGCGCAAACCTCTGCAGGGCAGCGGGTGCCATCACCCCGCTGTCCTGCAGAAGCTAGCAGGCTGTTCCTAAGCCAGAACAGCGAGACGGAGGGCTCCGTCTCGCTGCTCTAGCTTGGGACGGCTGCGCGCAAGCCTCTGCAGGGCAGCGGGGCGCTGCGCTCCAAAGGCTTCAGGGATCTTTGAGGCTGGCGGTGGGGAAAGCAGCGCTTCCCCACCACCAGCCCCACAAGCTCTGGTGAATGTACCTTGAACGCACCTTGTTTTGGAGGGGGAGAACAAGAAAAAAAATCTTTTTCCCTGTTCTCCCCCTCCTATGATCCGGTGCGTCCTATGGTCCGGTGCGTCCAATGGAGCGAAAAATACGGTAACCAAAAAAAGTTGCACAGAGAAGGACTGAACACTGACAATAAGAGGTATTTGTAGAGTAACACGACTGAAAGATGAGCATGGCATATGTATGCACAGATCCAATATGTTGTGGCAGTGGCTTAGCAGTGGTCTAGCAGAAAGCCTATAGATTAAACAGTTTATTGGACTGCTTCTCTCCATATGAACCTACCCAGACCCTGAGATCATCCTCTGACGCTCTTCTTTGTGTCACCTCCATGGCAGGCCTGGAGGGTGGCAACACGAGAATGGGCCTTTTCTGCAGTGGCTCCCCATTTGCGAAATGCTCTCCCCAGGGAGGTTCAGCTGGCACTTTCATTATACCCCTTTAAGGCACCAGATGAAAACATTCCCCTTTAACCAGGACATCTGATGCCCTTTCAAAATATGATGGGGGGGTGTTATTGGCTTGTTTTGCTTTTATTATGTATTTTCTGTCACATCCCGTGAGTGACAAAACATAACTCAACTCTTTCTGAATCAAGTGACTATGCAGGAATTGGATAAGTGCTTAGGTACCATGATGGGCTGGATGAGGGTCAATAAACTGACCTTGAATTCTGGTTAGGATTAAGGTTCTGTTTAGGAGCACTTCCCAGGCCTAGGAACAGATCAACTGACTGTTCTAAATAGGGTTTAACTCTCTGAAGGAGCAAGTAAGTAGTTTGGTGGTGCTCCTGAATCCATCTTTGTCACTGGAGAACCAGTGGATAAGGAGCACCTTCTGCTAGTTTGGCTGCTGCAACAGATATGACCATCCCTTTATTGGAATAGCCTAGGTAAAGTGGTCAAAGCCCGGAAAGTCTCCAGATTAGATTACTGCAATGAACTCTTTGTGGAGCTTCCCTTAAGGTTGAACTGGCAGCTGTTGCTAGTGCATAATGCCACAGCAAGACTGTGGAAAAGGGCACCTATCAACTGTGCATAACACCTGGGCTGAAAGAGTTTCACTGGCTGCCATTTTGCTATTGAGCCAGGTTTTAGGTCTTGCTATTGGCATATAAAGCCCTGGACACATTGAGATGAGGTTACCTAAAGGAGCACCTTTCCTTATACAGTCGAACCTTGGTTCTCAAACACCTTGGTACTCGTCCATTTTGGCTGCAAACCCGGAAGTGCGTGTTCCAGTTTGCAAACAGCCGAACATCCGACGCAGCTTCCGACTGAGTGTGGGAAGCTCCTGCACCCAATTGGAAGCCACGCCTTGGTTTTCAAAGGTTTTCAGAAGTCAAACGGACTTCAGGAATGGATTACGTTCGAGAAACAAGGTATGACTGTACCCCTATCTGGAGACTTTGAAACATTGGAAACACACTCATAATAGTGCCACAAGCCTTGTTTGTCAAGCCAGTACCTGATTGTCCAAATGTGGCAAAAGTGTCTTTGGTTCTGTGTAAACCAAACAAAGTTTTAGATAGTATACATTTTGAGAAAATCTAAATTGAATTTTAAAAATCAATGGAATTTACAGACATGGAACTGAAAAATAAATTGGAGCAAATGTTGTTTGCTCAAGGAGAGCACTTTGAAAGTTTGGCTTATGGTTCTCCAATCCTATGAACACTTATCTGAAAGCAAGTCCTGCTAAATAGTGAGATTCCAAGTACAGTACACATGCAAAGGATCATGCTGTAAGATGGAACGCTTATATTTATTCAAGATATTTATTGGATTCCTTTTCTCATTCTACCAAGAACTTTGGCAACAATACTTAAGCTGCAATAAATGATGTCGCAGACATAACAGGACCAGTGTGCTATGAAAGATTCTTATATTTCTGCATGCTTTTTTCTGGTTTGGGTGGGAAGAGATACCTAGATGTATTTATTTATTTCAAAACATTTATATACTGCCTGATTATAATAAAACCTCAAAGTGGTTTTCAAAAAGAGTATGTTTCCACAGCTGCAGCACAGCATGGCTGTGTGCAGCCCTGGAAAAGCATGCCAATATTACCAGGATGAAAATTTCTATTAATAAAAGGAATGAAAAAAGGAACATGAATACAGAATTTTCAATGTATGAAATGGAAGACTGGTATATGCAGTGAAGCAGATTATATTGTGATTATTTCAGCCATTCTAATTTAAAATTAAATTATTTAAGAACTTGTCCCACGTATATCCAAGTACTTACCACTGCCTAGTCTGAGAAGCAGTACATCCTGTAGCCGTCTGTTCAAGTCTCTGAGCTCCTTCATTTCTGACACTAATGTCCCATACTCCTTTAGCTTTTTTGCTTGCTGAACAAGCTGCCTTCTTGTTCGCTCAAGTTCTTGTTGAATGTGTCTCATTTCTTCCTGCTGCTGCTGATAGCTTCGCAGCAATTCTTCATAAAGAACTCGAGGAACTACAGCATCGTCCATATTGTTCATCCTTTCTGAAGTTTCCATAAATGTTGCTTCAGGACTGGAATTGCTACTGAGACTCATTCCATTTTGTTTTTCAAGGCGCGCAACAACTGCTTCAATGCTTTTGTGCGTACCTTCATTTTGTTTCCTTCCATCTTGTCTCTGTGTGTTACAACAAACATTGTGTTAACATATAATACGTAGCATGCTACAGAGATCTATAGTTAATTAAAACAGGAATTCACCAGAGTCCTCAAGTAAACGATGTGCTTATAATGAACTATACTAAATATGAAGTCATTCTTTTTTATTGAACCATAATAATAATAAATAATCACAATCTTTTCAAGTTAGCATTTGGAGAAAGCAGGGCTGATGGTAACCCCAATTTGGGCTGCCTACCAAAGCTAGTCAAAAGTTGCGGACAATTGGCAGTGGGAATTCTCCACAATGCACAGAGAGTCCTTAGTATGCTGAAGAGAATGGGACCACACTGGTTTACATGAACTCCTTTGCAGGTTTGCAATTGTACCTCTTGTATGAAATTTATTTTTCAACACACAAACTAAGGAAGTTGTTAGCACCTAGATATTTTTCAACAACACTATT